GGCTCGGAGCTTCTTGATACGAGTGTTCTGAGCGTAAGCGTGACACTTCTGCGCATCTTGTTTCTTGGTGAAGGCAATAACGAAGAATCGGAGAGTATATCCATCCGTAGTCTTGACGTCCACATGAGCCTCGATCGTAGACTGCCATTTGAAAACTAGTCCACATAGCTTATCGCGTGTGAGATCCATTCCATGGAAATTCGTAAGACACTGTCGACCCTGGACGTCCTCAACCTGCAACTTAAACTTTCGGAAAATGTCCTGGGTTTTGTCGTTCAGGTCGCCAAGGCTGAGTTGAATGACACGTCCTTTGAGACCCTCGCTAGCAATCTTAGTACCCTGGGTACGAGTAATAAGAGTGCGTGCACAATTCCTTTTTGTGAACACTGATGGAGCTCGTAGCTCGTACCATTCCTTCTTAGCGAAGGGATCGGCGCTAATAGGAAAGAAATTAACAAACAAATAGGAAACAGTACGTCTTCTTTTTTCCGCCCTTCTTCGGTCCTTTTTGTGCTTGCTGTTGTTTGGTAGGAGCCATCTTCAGGAAACAACAACGCTAGCAAGGGGAGCACGCCTCAGATGTCAGAATCTTCAAGTGAGGCGCGACACGCATCTTAAACAAAACCACTCAGTAATTTCATATTATCAAAGGCATTTTATTTCAGGGGGACGATTATATCGGTGCATCAACAATGAATGATTCGTATGTTATAAGACACACAGTATTCTACCAATCTTGCGGCAGGCTGTCGTATTGACAAATAAATCATACAGTGAATTGAAAAAGCAAAATAGCTATCGGGATGTTCGAAAAGCGAAGATTATATTGACATTAAAAAAGTGGCAGTAAATGCGTCAGCATTTATTGTAAGAGTTGAAACCCAAATGGAATGCTTTGACGCGCACAACACACACGCACTACATTATGTCTGCATTTGTGAAAGATAATCAAACAAGATAAGGGGAAAGAACAAAATAAGTGGCAAGACAATATAAAGACATAAAAATAGCTGACGTAACCAGTATATCAGAGTGAACGACACAACCCGAGCGATAAAAGGTAGTATCTGATATGGCGAGTTTGGTTCGATACCGCATGTGGCTGTTAATAAATTGGGTCCCTCTTTCATGACAAATCGTCCTGTTTGCATACCTAAACGTTTAGCGAGAAATGAGTGTGGTAAACATGTTTGCTCCCTTTCGGAGATTTGTGCACCAGTTTCTGTTTCTCAAATACCCTCTTTTTGATGATCAAGACATACTGCTTCAGGAGGAAGTTAAGATAAATCTAGATAAGATCTGGCAAAGTCCAGTTATTCTGAAGAAAAAATGCAATATGCATTGCATTTGGATGTCACATTCGTGAGTACGTCCCAGGCGACCTGCCTCAGATGCATTAGATCACTGTTAGGCAAAGTACCAACATACATCACCGTTCATTAACCTGAATAACCCCAACTACCGACAGTTACTAGTAACCGAATATTTGGTGTGGGGACTACGATAAAATTAAGGCCCAGGTTAATAACATTAATTGCGAATCCGCTTTTTCCGACAATATAGTTGAGGATT